TAAAACCAATTTATTTCAAAAATATTATTTTATACAAAAAAATTTTAGATGAATTCAATAACAATACAATTGATATAAAAGTTATTATTTTTATTTGACTACTAATAAAAATTATTTTGGGTTAAATTATTAGAAAATTAATTTTATATTACTTTAAAAACCATCTAAGATATACTTTAAATTTAAATAATACTTAAATGCTCGAAATAACATACACGCTTCTGACTGTGAAGTGCCATGTGTGTCTCTTCAAATCCTTCGATTGAGTAAATTCCTTATTACATACTTCACATTTATAGGAATGCTCTCGTTTATGAATCAGCATGTGACTTTCAGATGACTGATAGTGTAAATTTCTTTTGCATATATCGCATTCATGGGGACGTACCCCACTGTGTATCAGCATGTGACTTTTCAGATGACCTGATTGTGAAAATTTCTTTTTGCATATATCGCATTCATGGGGACGTACCCCACTGTGTATCAGCATGTGACTTTTCAGATGACCTGATAGTGTAAATTCTTTTTTGCATATATCGCATTCATGGGGACGTACCCCACTGTGTATCAGCATGTGACTTTTCAGATGACCTGATTGTGTAAATTCTTTTTGCATATATCGCATTCATGGGGACGTACCCCACTGTGTATCAGCATGTGACTTTTCAGATGACCTGATGTGTAAATTTCTTTTGCATATATTTCATTCATGGGGACGTACCCCATGTGTATCAGCATGTGAATTTTAGATGACCTGATGTGAATTTCTTTTTGCATATATCGCATTCATGGGGACGTACCCCACTGTGTATCAGCATGTGACTTTTCAGATGACCTGATAGTGTAAATTCTTTTTGCATATATCGCATTCATGGGGACGTACCCCACTGTGTATCAGCATGTGAATTTCAGAGACTGATAGTGTAAATCTTTTGCATATATCGATTCAGGGGACGTACCCCACTGTGTATAAGCATGTGAATTTCAGATGACCTGATTGTGTAAATTTCTTTGCATATATTCATTCATGGGGACGTACCCCACTGTGTATCAGCATGTGACTTTTCAGATGACCTGATTGTGTAAATTTCTTTTTGCATATATTTCATTCATGGGGACGTACCGCACTGTGTATCAGCATGTGACTTTTCAGATGACCTGATTGTGTAAATTTCTTTTTGCATATATCGCATTCATGGGGACGTACCCCACTGTGTATCAGCATGTGACGTTTCAGACTACCTGATAGTGTAAATTTCTTTTTGCATATATCGCATTCATGGGGACGTACCCCACTATTGCAAACGTCACATTCATAAGTTGATGTTTCAACTAACTCCTGTTTGACTTCTTCTTCAATTGTAACCTCAGAATTCATGAATCTTTCTAAACACGTATCACCATCTTCAGAACACGATTCAGATTTAACAGTAACATCATGATCATCAAATCCATCCTCCATTTCGAGTTTAATGTCTTCTGGTGAATATTCTGGTGGTTCAATTTTAATTGCCTGATCATTCATAGACATAATTGTTTCCTCCGACATGGCTAGTGCTAAAACTAAAATGTTTAAATAAGTTAGCCTTACAATAAAAGCTTGACAGAAAATATGTTACAATAAATACTGACATTCATGTGCACTGAGCATTAATTTTGATAAATATGTTATTATAATAATGCTCACTACGTTTGTTTTATATAAAAGTAGTTATATAATTTATTTTAGGCAGTTTTTTTTGAGATGATATATTTAATAATTTAGAACTTCAAAATAGTAAGTAAAACATATGGGTATTTCGCATCGAGGTCTCTTTGCTTGACAAATATTGAATGAATCTAAAAAAAATTGTAAAATCGATTTAACATTATAAAATAAATTATAATGTTGTATTATTTTATATTGTTGACAATCTCTACTCATTGTTTTATCTAACATATTGCAGAATAAATTAAAATAAAAAATAACTGTTTTGATTGTAAATTTTTGTAAGAATGATTCAACACTATAATATAATTTAAAATCAAATTATGATGTTATCCCTATATTACATTTTTTTGTATCAACATTGAGACATTTAGTTATATGCTTGTCATAGTATCATCATTGAAATAGTAAATCAAAATTATAAAAATTAAAACATACCTGATTCAGATAACTACACAAAATCACCTGATGTTCACAAATGCCTATATCAAATCATTTCTGATAACATCCCTGTAATAAGAATAGTAAGGTTATTATTGGGCAAATGGTTATTGAATTAATGTTTATTGAATTGAAAATCAGTGATTTCATGTATCAACATGAGACATTTAGTTATATGCTCGTCATAATTTCATCATTTAAAGAGTAAACCAAAAATATAATAATTATAATATGGTAACATAAGATAAGAGTGAGAAATAAAATAGAATACAAAATAATGGAAAGTTTTCCATTGTAATGATATCCATATAATTGTCATAAAATAAAAACAAACTAGTTGGTTTGGTATTTAGCCTTGGGGCAAGTAACATGAACTTCCCGATATGTGAAAATAATCGACTTAATCAAAAAAAAATATGTAAATAATATACTTCATCAATCCTACTTAAAAAAAAAAACGATAATAATTTTAGCAAAGTTTGACAATTTTTTAAAATTAAACTACTTGTCGTAAGGCCGTAATATTGTAGTAAGTTCTATAAGACCATGATGTATATCGCCAAAAAACGTTTGGAGAAAACGTCGATTTACGGCAAAAAATCTGTTCACATACACACACACACACACATACACACACACACATACTTTTCCAAATTTGGTCTCATTCGATTCAGAATGGTTTGAAACGTCGAGAAAACATAAAATTAGCGATTCGGATTTTTTGATGAAAACATAAACTTCTCCTTCGGGAATAATTGTAATAAATCTGCTTACGTAATACTTGAACGATCCCTGACTAACTGAAATAGAATTTCATGTTAATATAATACATATAAAATAACAACAACAACTATTTGTTTTACGACGAGATTCTTTATTTCAATTTAGGTGTTGTCTTCTCAAGTTTCAGAATTCTTACTTTCTCGATCATTTTTATATTTACAAACATGGCGACCACATGAAGTTCGTTCCGCCCTGGCGCGAATTTTCAAAATTGCTAACATTATTTTGTTTTTTCCTTTTCTTTATCATATTTTTTATCGAATTTATTATAAAAACTATATATTCTCTTATCATTTATAAAAAATTTCTTACTTACCAATCTTTCCTTATTTGTTATTTCTTCTTCTTTCATTTCTACTTTTTCTCCTTGGGGTAAATAAATTATTTTATGTATTTTCTTTCTCTTGTTATTTTTAAATTCATCAAAATGTGTTAAAATCCACGACAAAAATAGAATCGGATATTTATAAATTATTATATGTAATAGTTTATAAATTATTTATATACATAATTAACTCTTTTATTCCTACAAATAAAATAAAGAAATTTAATATTTCTTTTCTTTTAAAAAATTTATTAAATATTTTTTTAAAAAATTATTCAAATAACTTTTAACTTAAAAAATAAATATAATTATAAATTTCAATTTTATTAAAAATTAAAAAATAACTGTTTATTAAAATTCTAGGCTTTCTTTATCAGACATTTATTTTTTTTAAAACAGACATATTAATTAAAATACTTAAAACACTCTAAATAAGGAATATACATCTTAGTTTTTTTAATGTAAAATAGTTTATAGGTTGATTTATTTATAATGTATTAAACAAACTAACAATTTCCAGAAAAAATTAATTGTTAATTTGTAGACAAAAATACTAATTATTTAAAAATTGCAGAACTTAATCTTCCCATGTGGTCGCCCACCATAGTACTATTAAGCTCTCACAGGAGTTATATATATTAATAATATATACATTTACTTATTCAATCATATAGCATAAGCATATTTTATAATCTTAACTTCCAATTATATACAACAATAAGATATATATTTACCATTCATCAATATGTTTTATAATCAAAGTGTCCTAGACTAAATATGTAACCATATAGGACGCGCTCTGATTTTCATTTGGGATTCTTTAATTAACATTCAAATACAATATTATTAATTGTATAATTTTATTATAATAAAGTATTAAAATATAATGATGTAATTGTAATAAAGTGAAATAATATTATTTTTATATAAAACCTACGTTATAAAAATATAACTGGCGCAGCCGGTAGGATATAACTCAGGCATCCATCGAGGAAACCATTGATTTTAATCATTTAGAGTTATAAACTGAATAAATTGTGCAACAAGTGTGAATCGAGTGAATCACAAACGAATCGTTATTGACGAGAAAAAGCAAAAGCCACCACAAGAGGTGAGTGAGACAATTTAATTAGAATTAAGAAGAAATAAATTGATAGATCCCCTTACCTATCCTTAGAACCGAATCCTAAAGATAAGTAATACAATTTATTTTCAATACAGTTTTTCAAAGATTTTTGTTAAAAGAAGTTACGAACCATTTCAATAAATTATAATTCCGCGTATGAGAGTTAGTTTATGGAAGTGGTAGTGACTCTGAATTAGAAGGTTTAATAAAAAAATTAACAGAAATGTCTTTACAAACGTACCAAAATTCGATCATGTTCTGATTGATACCATCCCACATTACGGAGGTAACCCCTCAGAATTAAATTCTTTTATATTAAGAATAAGAGAGATTAAAAATAGATATTATGACAGGGCGAATACATCGTGTGTTCAGAATGAAATAATACGAAGCGCGATTTTAACAAAATTACATGATAGAGCAAAACTAGCAGTAGAAAACGCAAATGCAAGAGAAATAGACGACGTGATAACAGTTTTAATTACTAAATTTTCTGACCAACGTGATGATACATCTATTTATTTTGACTTACATAATATGCGCCAAGGACCGAACGAAACCGTGTACGAATTCTATGAAAGATTTGAAGAATTAATAAGCATTTATAATAATTATACATGTCTTCACGTAACAAATGCTGATATTTTAAACGACCGTTGCGATAGATTTCATAAAAGTGCTTGTTAAATATTCATATTAACAGTAGCGCCATCTAGTTCTTTACTATGTACTAAGTGAATATTTTTTAGGTTTTATATATTGGTACCATTGTGAAATTATTCTAGATTCTTTTTATATCCGTTTTTAGGATTCATTCTGAATTGAGCCGTGAGAGAATAAAGTAGTAATTTTGATAGTAAATATGTGTTTCCTTTTATAAGTGTTTAATATTTTATAACTTTATACATTGGTCCTTACCGACGGTGTTAAAATAAAAATAATCAGTGCCAAACTACAGTCCACATACCAGAACAAAAAGGAGCCTTTCGCTATCATAAACAAAAACACACAGGCCGATTGCAGCAAACTACCACGAGGACGACGCAGAGATTGGATAGCAAAACCACGAGGTATTTATAAACCATCTTGAGCATTGTTAAAACTTATGTATGTTTAATAATACCCTAGGGCATAGGTAAAATAATATTCGGGTTATATAGCATCCTTAACACGCGGTCATAATTCGGGTATAAAGCACAGAATCAATCACAAGAGTACATTCAAGGTGATATTTATTTGGTTAGTTTTAATAGCAACCAATTGAAAATATTGGACGAAGTCTCTTCCATTTATATTTAGCATAAAAAAGTGATATTTTGGGTCAGTTTTATTGGCGGCCAGTAAAAATAGCACAAAGAAGCTAATTCAACAAAATGAAGGTCAAAGCCTTGATTAATCAAAGGGCGGAAATAAAATCTAAAATGATTATTATCCGAAAATATGCAATAAATTTCAAATCCGGCGATAGTATTCTAGGGCTAATTTATCGCAAAGAAAAGCTAATAGAGAATTTTAAACAGCTGGAGAAAATTAATAGAAAATTAAATTTGCTACAACCAGGACAACATGCCGAACAGTTCGAAATTTTGTTCAATTTGCATTTTGATGTTTTAGCTAGCATAGAGGAACATTTAGGGAACAAAGCAACACTACAATTAGGACATAAGCCTGACTTAGTCCCAGACATTGTTGCAAGATTAGATGATGATTCTGATTATTCAGATACCGAGAGTATATTCGATGACACAGATTTTGAAAGTTCTGATTGTGAATCTTATGACTCTGAATATGAAGATGAACTGGAAGATGAGGTGGAATCTCTTAACAGTAGTAATATTTTATTTGAAGATGAGGTAGGATTTCTCCACAGTAGTAATGTTTCATGTGAAAAGGAAACAAACCCACAGATCACAGAATATTCAATGAGCAGCAGTTTTATGAAAGAAACGAGCAGTCATCAGTTCTTGAATCTAAAATTGAAAAGATGTATAATTATTATAATGATACCGAAATTGATACACTTGAGGGTGAAAAAATTGTAGAAAATCTATATAATGCAGATGTTTTATTTCAGTATGCAAAAGAATTGGAACAGAGTCAAATTAAAACCAAAACAACTTCGAACAATGAGCAAGGATCATCCCTTGACTTTGAAGATTTGAAAGTTAAAATAGTCTCGTCCTTAATTCTTTTTGTTGATACGAGAGGACTTCTACGAGTAGGTGGGAGACTAGGCCAATCACTGATATACTCGCAAAAACATCCAATAATTCTTCCAAGGAGACATTACATAACACGACTGCTGTTGCGACAGGAGCATGTAAGATTATTACATGCTGGTACTCAAGCCATCTTGATTAATATACGGCAAAAATACTGGCCTATAAATCGAAGAAACATCATCAAAGGAATAATCAAAGAGTGCACAATATGTAGGCGCTTTCAAGCAGCACAAAGTCAACAGCTAATGGGATCGTTACCTGCTGATCGAGTGACAAGTAAAAGACCGTTTCTTGCTGTAGGTGTGGATTATGCTGGTCCCATTGAGTTGAGAGCGAGCCGACTGCGCAAAGCACCAAGAATAAAAGCGTACATAGTGGTATATATTTGCATGTCCACTAAAGCAGTACACTTAGACTTAGTCACGGAATTATCAACTGCAGCCTTTTTGGATTCATTGAAACGCTTCGTGTCACGAAGAGGTGTGTGCCAAACCATATACAGTGATAATGGAACCAACTTCGTAGGCGCCAGTAATGAATTAGATAGACTCTATAAGTATTTTAAAAATAATATTAATAAGAAAGAACTCATTGAGAGTGTGTCAACCATTGGAATAACATGGAAATTTATACCGTCACATGCACCCCATTTTGGAGGACTATGGGAACGGAACATTAGAACAATGAAGCATTATTTAAATAGGGTTATTGGTTCAACCTGTTTAATTTATGAAGACTATTTAACTTTCTTGAATCAAGTAGAAGCCATAATGAATTCAAGACCCATTATCCCATTAAATGATGATAGCACCGATTCTGTGTTTTTAACCCCTAGTCACTTTCTTATAGGTGATATTATGACTGCTATTCCTGAACCCGTAGTAGATCGTACTGCCCTAAGAAATAAATTAAACATACATAGACAGCTAAATGCGATGAGAGATAGGTTTTGGACCTTGTGGTCCACGTCATATTTAGCAGAGCTACAGAAGCGGGCAAATGGACAGCATCCTTGGACAACCTAGCAGTTGATATGGTAGTCCTAATAAAAGAAGACCATGTCGCACCATTACACTGGCCAGCAGGTCGGATAGTCAGCGTCACGAAGGGCAAAGATGGCAAGGTTTGGGTGGCCACAGTCAAAACCACTCAAGGATTATATGTGCGACCTATTGTGAAATTGATACCTCTAATTGATATAGACAATAATTAAGTGTGTGAGTCTAGCTTATTAATGAAATGAGATATTTAAGACTAATTTTTTAAAACCAATAAATAAATTTAACATTAGAATTAGGTTAAGTTGACACATTATTGAAGTTTAGTAAACTATGTCAATATGATAAAATATAAAATTCATATTATACTTAGCTGTCAAATGAAATACCTAGCACTAAGTTTGTATATATATCTTAGTCTAAATTAATGTAACTAAAAATGTATTATTATAGTTATTTGCTTGTGACATTGTATTGGCTATGTGCGAAGGCATGGAAGGGGAAGTCAAATCGACCGAAGCGTTCGTAGTGGCTAACTTGAAGCACTAGAAGGGGCTATTATAAACAAAAACACATAAAATATTTATTTATTTCAAATTTAAATAAGATAATTAAAAATGAGCCACCATATCTGTTGTGTAGTGGGTTGTAGAAATACCAGCAGAAAAAGTGACTGCAAATTCTATACATTTTGTACAGCTAAGTGGAAAGAAAATCAACGGGAAAAGTGGATCGCAGCGGTTAGAAGAATAAAGTAAGTATCATAACCTTATTGTTATAAAAATACCATTTGGAGTATTATGAATAGTTGTAAAATTGTTATGTTTAGCAAAAAGAAAAATTATAAGTCAATAAATTGTTGTATTATCAAAATTTAATGCTTACTAAAAAAATGTTTTGTAAAACAATGTAATTAATACAAGCCTGAAATAATAAAAAATACATATTTATATATTGTATATTGATTATGTATAACTATTATTTATATATTAATTACATTTTATTATATAATAATTGTAATTTTATGATTAAAAGAAAAATAAAAGTTATCACATAGCGAAAAAATGTTTATTTTGCAAACAGTTTAATTAATACAATGCTGAAATTATGCGAAATATATATTTGTAGTGTTGATGGATCACCGTGGGTTCCCAAGCCCTATGATCGCATTTGCAGTGAATCGGTCGAGGTATTGAGTCCTACCTACTGGTCAACAATATTTCCTTCAATTTACAAGTCTCGAAAAGTTAATGTAGTTTTTTTCCTGCAATTTTATTTGATGGGTCTTGTCTTTGATAATAATGTCTAAATTATGTCTTTATAATAGTGTTTAAGTCTTTAGTTTGTCCAAAAAAATGAGTAAATTAATTTATTATTTACTTATTCTATTGATAAAATACTATTTATCATTATTATATTGTTTTTATTAAGAACTATTCCGAGATTATGACATAAGCTTTGAGGCACTTAACCTTAAAATTATTTACTGCATTTCTTTATTTAATTAATCATTATACTTAACTATGTTTTAAGTACGTTGAAGTAAATTTAATAATTTCAATAAACATTCAGCGTTCACATTATTACTGTATCTTGTTTATTATTATTTATAACAATTATTTAATATCTTTTTTCTTTAACAAACATGTAAAACCCATGAAAACCACACACTGATACCCCCAATTAGTTCATATTTATTACGGCGCTGCAGTCACGCTCGGAGCGAATAACTTGACATGTAAAGGTGCGCCACACCTAACGAACGAACATAAAGAATGTACCAGTACGAACGGCAACAGAATAGTGTGGACGCCACAACGATCACGAACGAACATAAACAAACATGGCGAGCAATGTTCCGCAACTTGTCGGTACATCAAAGGGAATTGTTCGTTTATGTTTGAACTCGTATGTGCAGTGTGGACGCTACCACGAATGTAGACAAACATTTTTCTTTTTTTATGTTAAAATGTGCATTCATGCATTAATTTATGTTGTGTTTATTATAAGATATTGCTGTTATTGACAAATTTTGTAAATTTGATGACTTTAAATAATTTTACTCTTTCCCGCTACTTTAAATAATAAATCTGACGTTTTACGGTACATCCTCGAATAAAAAGATTCAAGCCCTCACTGCTTTGAGGTGTTTGTTTGGAATTTTTCGCGTTCGTTCGTGTTCCTGTTTGTTCTTCTTCGTATTTTCTTGTTCGACATGTTCGTTCGTGTTCGTTCGTTAGGTGTGGACGCACCTTAACATGTAACATAGGGTGCGTTCGACTTGGACGCTTACGCGCTGTGAGCGCTCACGCTTATAAGCACGAATTTTTAGCGTTCGACTTGGCCGATAAGCGCTCAGAATCGATAACTAAATTCCGTTCGTTTTGGATACTGTGAGCGTCAATGAGCATCAAAATGGCGGCAACTGGCGGTAACGGTAATTGTGTAAATATTATTACTTTCTGGATCATTCAGCGGGATTATAAACAATTTAGCAATTAATAAATAAATGAAATTTGGTTTGCTTATGCTTAATTCATATTAATATTAAAATTAAAATTTAAAATTTTTCAAAATTAATTAAATTTAAAATTAATTAATATTAATATCAATATTAAAAATAATTGTAATGCACAGCTCGCCATTTTCGCGTACTTATTGAACTAAGAATGAATGAAATTAGGATTAGATTATGCATTTCATGCATTCATTTTGATAAACGGCCATGACACTTTCAAGTGCCTCACCTCCGTGGCGTAAGCACGTTTGAGCGCAAAATATGTGCTACGAACATACTTCTGTGACACTCACAGCGCCAAGTCGAACGATGATAGCGCGCTCACAGCGCGTAAGCGTCCAAGTCGAACGCACCCATAATGTCTTTCTTTGCGCCCGCAGGATGTTAAATATTCATATTAACAGTAGCGCCATCTAGTTCTTTACTATGTACTAAGTGAATATTTTTTAGGTTTTATATATTGGTACCATTGTGAAATTATTCTAGATTCTTTTTATATCCGTTTTTAGGATTCATTCTGAATTGAGCCGTGAGAGAATAAAGTAGTAATTTTGATAGTAAATATGTGTTTCCTTTTATAAGTGTTTAATATTTTATAACTTTTTACAGTGCTTTAACAGTTTTCACAGCTCTTTCATGTAAAACAACCGTACAGTACAGCATTGAGAAGCCGCGATATTTGTTCCTTAAATGAAGCCCTGCGAGTAATTTCAAAGGACGATAACATAAATCATATCAGAAGTAATAATTTTAACTTCCAAAACCCAATACAAAGTAATAGGAGACAGTTTGAACGACACAATAAAAAATCGTAACTCATCTTTCCAACAAAATCAAAATTTTCCTAATCAAAATCAAAATCGAAATTTTCCTAAGCATAATTTTAATCAAAACAGGCAACACTATAATAATTATCAATCTAATGGAAGTCATCCGCCTCAGTTTAATCAACAAAATTTTAATCGAAATTTACAACAATAAAATCCAAATTATAGAGACAATAACGTTAATCAGCAATTCTCAAGACCAATGCAACGTACTGACTGGCAACCAATGAGTGGTGTTTCAACCATTAACAACAGACAGACCCCTAACAGACAAAATCGATTTTTCAATATAGAAAACACAAATGACGAACAACCTTTAGTAGAAAACCAGCAAGATGAAAATTTTTGCTATACCGACCAATCAACAACGAAAACATAATTGAATTTCATGTTTTTCAAAATGAATTACCTTACATAAGTATTGAAAATCCAAAAATGAAAATTTTAATAGACACCGGATCAACAAAATCTTTTATTTGTCCAAGGATAGCAGTACAATATTTTGATAACTTTATTTACGAAGATCCATGTACAATAAGAACGGCACTTGCGTCATACACATTGGCGTAACTATAGGGTGGCGTGGGTGGCAAAAAGCCACGGGCCCCCGGCCCAAGAGGACGCGTGCTCAGAAATATTGTTTTTACATTATACTCTAATACTTCATTTCACTTGAAAAATATGTTTTCGTAAGAATCAGGCGCGTAACTACCGCCGTATCAGCCGTATCAAATATACGGGGCCCCCGAACCAGGGGGCCCCCAACGTCCGTAAGAAACATTAATAATATAAAAAAATCATGAAAACTTCGTTCAATGAAATTTAATGTCGTTAAAAAAGTACGCGAGGAATGTGAGATTATTATTTTAAAGAAGTTTATTTTGTCCAGGCCACGGGGGCCTCAAATACGCGTAAAAAGTACGCGAGAAATGTAAGATTATTATTTTGAAGAGTTTTATTTTGTCCGGGCCACGGGCCCCAAATACTCGTTAAAAAAGTACGCGAGGAATGTAAGATTATTATTTTAAAGAAGTTTATTTTGTCCAGGTCACGGGGCCCAAAATTATTAAATCTATTTCTGATAAAAATATCCCTTTAATAAGTATCGAGGGCAGGGATATGATGGTGCTAATACAATGAAAGGGACTTATGGCGGAGTTCAAAAATTAATAGAAGATGTCGAGCCAAATGCCGTATATGTGCACTGTGCTGCTCATAACTTGAATCTAGTACTCAATGATGAAGTGAGAGAGATTATTGATATGCAATTTTTTTTTGAAACAGTTCAACGAATTTATAATTTTTTTTGGTCATAGCATTAAAAGATGGAACATTTTATCAAGTTTAATATCCAATAGCGAAAGTGAAACAGCAGTAACACTCAAAACATTGAACCCTACTAGATGGGCAGGACGTTATGATGCCGTTTTTGCTTTAAAAGTTCGTTTTGTTGAAGTACAAAAAGCACTAGCAAAAACAATCTTATTCAATTGTAAACCAGATGAAAGAAATGAAGCTGTTTCACTTAAAAAGAAAATCGAAAACTTCAATTTTGTAATGCTACTGGTTTTCCACTGTAAGATCCTACAAATCATCGATGCAGCATCTAAAGCACTCCAATTCTCCAATCTAAAGACGCCGATCTTTCAAATGCTTTAAAACGCTTGAAAATTTGCATGGAA